TTATTAAATAATAATAATAATTAAAAAGGCAAACATCCTTTTAATTCTAATAGTAATAATAGCACTTTTCAGATGTAGATAAAAAAAAACCATTATCCCCCTATGAAAATTCATATATGAAGGCACCGTTAAGGAAAGTAGCTTGCTGAAGTCCCCGGCTGGTCTGTGTAACGCCGGGAACATGAGACGATGTTTCAAGCCCCACCTAGTTAAATTGTCAGCTCTGCCACAGCATCCCTGTGAAACACTGAACTGTCTGGATACAACAGCAGGCTAGTGATGGGAGCTCCACACGCAACTGTTTCTGGGATTATATAAAAACTCTGACATGTTTCAAAGCTGAAACACATCAAATACCTACCTATTAATATCAATAAACAAGAATTCTATTCATATCACACATTTATGGGTTTGCCCGTCAATTGGTCGAGTATGAATATTTAACAAACAAACTAGGCATCCTCCTGACGATGATTTATCATCCATGTACAGTAACGGCAACCTAAGAAACAGACCCTCAGGAATCCAAGAAACAGTACAGTAAGATCTGAGCTCCTGCTGCTTTTATAAACTGATTTTCTGCTGTTGCTTCAATTAAGAGTAATAATAATTACAGCGTTTTATAGCAAAAGCCAACGATGTTTTGAACTGCTACAGTATAACCAGGTTGAAAGTCATTGCGCTTGAAGGAGTAACTCCTAACTCCTGAGTGGAGGGGGACCCCGCATATTGTTTTGATGAAAGTTTTCCGCCCACATTTTTGTGCTTTGGCAATCCTCCAAACATACTGAGCTGTGAAGGTTCAAGTGTTCCGTAAGGCAGTGTGAGCTTCCTAAACCAGATCTCTGCAAAACAGCATGGAACAGAACAGAAAGCCTTTGAAGAAGCAGCTCCAGGAAGGCAGAACAGTTGTTCAGCCCTCGAACAGGAACAGCCTGCAACAGCTCTGCTATGCGCAAAATATCCAATTACCCAAGGGAATGGGAAAGGGGGGGCTGGGGGGATGGATTAGGGATGGCCTGGTCTTAAAGAACTGTCTTCCCCAAAGGCATAAATTGCTTTTTTAAGAGGAACGGGAGACAGAGGAATTCAGGTTTTCATGGAATTTGGTCCTGGTTTCCCGCTGTTCATGCATTCAGAAAGGACAAAGGCTTGTGTAAACAGATTATTAGGAGTTATAATACTAAACCAAACTTTTACACCATACCCCATAAACCAAACCCAGTCCATATTGCTCCCATTCATTCCCTTTTGCCTGTCCTTGTTCATCCTCTGCTTAACTCTTTCATCTACAGATCAAACCACCATTTTGTTTGATTTTGACATGTGCAAAAGGAAGGCATTGCTTTTATTCCAGCTTTCACAAAGAATATTTTTATAACCCACTTGTTTTATTTTTCCACTAATAGATGCTAACAATCCGTATCTGTTCAAAAGGTAGACACTGGATGCTTGGGTGCTCAGTGAGTTCCAGTTCCTTCCATCATGCACTCCCTCACCCACATAATTCAAAGAAAAATTAATGCAGCTAAAAAAATGCAGCTTGCCATCTTAAATGAAGAAGTAATTTCAAATCCACCATTCCCTCTTTCACCACTGCTGAAAATCCATCCCTGTCATTGTTCTAGTAAGCAGCAAAATCCTTTTGAATTCCCTTTTAATGTCCATCTGCCAATACTTACACATTAGTATGAAGCTGGAATTCATCGGTCTTGTAGCCAACAGCAAAGTTGCTCTGGGTTACCCTAGACTTCGTTGTCTCAAAAGTCATTTGGTAACCTGCCAGCCACCCCTCGTAGCCAACGACCAGGGCTCCACGTATTGAAGGACCGGCAATATCAAAATCCATGTCACAGCCAATGTTGACGTGTTCCCTTTTGTACCCCGTCTTAACCTTTGCGCTCTTTTTCCTAAAGAGAAAAGAAAGAATCTCGTATCTTTGAAAAGGCACGCTCGTAGGCAGCAATTCAATCAAATCAGTTACTTCAACTCAGCGTAATAGTTCTTGAAGACGAAGTACGCATACCTGGAGAGCCACATGGTATGTCACCTCCTTACCTTTCACGTTCGCAAAACCCTAATTCAGCTACAGGGAATTATTTGCAATCAAGCAATAAAATGCGGTGTGGTGCCCTACTAAGCACTTCTGGGTTGCGTTCTGAAAAGCAGCAGCACAATAAGCCAGACAGGAGGTGACAAAAACAAATCCTCATCTCCAACTAATCCAGTGGTTTTGGAAATTTGGTGGATGCAGGGAAGGAACGGAAACTGTAGCAGTTCACAGGTTGGCCACAGAAAGTCAATAGTAGTTGGCCTGTCCCAAACAAACAATTTTTAGACAATCCTAGTGAACCGGGTAATTTTATTTACTGTGTCAGATATCGAGACATCACTACTTTGTCTCCAGACTCCTGAGGGAAAGTCTCTGCTGCTAAGGAAGTAGGCTGCTTCAGTGGCTCTGGCACCCTGCTTCTTCCTTAGGACACTTGATGAAGTTTAATGGTTACAGCCATTAGAAAGGCTGCCAGGTTAACGCAGAAATAAACTTTCCTGAGTCACTTGTTTCTTTTTATACTATTGGCCAGAACAGTGTTTTCTCATGTGTCCGTGGGTCGGTTTACATCAAGGGTGCAGACCCTCACAAGGCAAGAGAGTTAGGTCTAACATCTTCAGCTACTCTAAGTTAAGATTTTTTTTGTTCTCTCTTTACCTTACAAGTGTCTTCTGTCTTTGACCAAATCTTTTACTGAAATCTTTCTGGAGAAGTCAGGCTAATTTGAAATTGCAAATCAACCTTTCACTTCAGCTAGCAACAACAGCCTCCAAGAACCTTTTCAATGGTGTACCAGAGCCACAGAGAGATTGCTCTCTTTTATTATTATTATTATTATTATTTCAGACTCAGGAATGTCTTGTGTTTTACAAAATCAGAAATAAAGAGCAGGAGTGCCAAAAGCACTCAGCATTAGCTCGTCCGCAACTTCTGTAAAAGTCAGCGGTACCTCTCCCACCAATGTCAAGAGGGACAGAGGCAAGCTAACACGGAGCACTCCTAAAAATGACTTTCCCTGTTGAAAGACTCATCACAGCCCAGTAACAACGAAGGGGGAGAAGGTGTCACACATTCAGACATGATGGATCCCTGTCAACCTAAACCAGGTCACACCAGGATTGAATCTCATTCCATTTATTCAAATTATAATAGTCCTCCCACAAGGCAATCGTTGTAACTCAGATACTATAGCTATAGAAATAGCTATAGAGCTGTAACTTGTCGTTCTCATACCAGATTTTTTCTATTTCTTTAAAAATCCTACCAGTTAAGAAATAATTATCAACAAACACTAGAGATTATTCTGGTTAACAAATACAAAAATATCTAGTTAATCTAGAATTAGCAGTGGACTGGAAGCAGTTGACAATGCAGGTCACTACACCTAAAAGACAGGGTGAAACCTCCACTACGACTCTAACCCCAGCAGCCTGCAGTGCAGCGTGCCGCTCTGGGAAGCTAACGTGCAGAATATTTTGACTCACTGGCAACACTGCTTGCAAAAAGATAATCAGGGGCAAAAAATAAACCAACATCTAGACCTACAGCTGCTGCTTAATCCCTCTGGCCCACATAAAACGTGGCATCCAATCGCCGTGTCAGAAATACTCATCCACCACCGAGGCACGCTGTGCCCAGCAAGAATTCAGACGATAAATTCCGCTCGGGAGAAGAGCCCAATTACTGTGTCGACCTATTAGAGCCGTGGCCAACTGGCTCCCGGAGCTTGTTAAGCTTTGCATTACAGCTGACTTGTTTAGCGCTTTTATTCAGCCAGTAGCTCATCCTCTGACATGGCCAGAATTAAGCAACAGGGGCGCAAACAAAACCTTTTCTTCCTGCCCTCATTCTGACTCTAATTTTCAAGTTACTGTATTTAAAAGTTTGCTTGCTACAGTTTAGGATTAAAAAGGGATTGTTAATACTAAGATTTAAATCAGATGTACACGATGTCATCATACACAGGCTGATTATTAACTGCCTTGGCATCTTAGGACAGAACAAGCAAAGCAGCAAGGCAGTATTCTGGAAAACGAAAATAAAAAATGCCTTCTTTTGTCACTTAAGCTTACTCACTTCTTACCCAGTGTTAGGAGAGAAGGAGGAGTCAAAGGTCAGCTTCAGGCCACGTGCAAGCTGAACAGAAAAGAAATCCACTGGTTGGATTTATAATTAGCGATTGGCATAAGTTAATTTGTAAATTGCATCTTTTGAGCCAAAAATTACCTGATCTTCAAGAGTAATCTCAGTGCCTAGCGTGTTGTCGGTGTTCCACTTTTCTGTGAACATCAATCCATATTCCACCCACCTGTATTTCGTTTCCAAACTACCACTAACTTTGCTTGTTTCTGAGTTTGCTGAACCTGAGCTTGTAAATTCCTAAAAGGAAAAGAAAATCATATATATACACATAATATATATATTTGCAAATATTTATACATTTGCATGCAGGCAAATACACTTGTAGAACGTATTAGTCATTATAATTTGGGATATTATTCAATACTGCAGAGTTCTCAGAAGATTTAAGGACATGTTTGCTAGTCATTAATATCAACACGCTCCTGCCCCACAAAAAAATTCAGCGTCAGAGAGAAAAAGCATTGCGTGCTACGGGAATGGATATGGGACAGGAACGCGGATAACCCTCACCAGCAGCGTAACACAGAATAAGGTGCTAGTCTGTACAAGGTGTCTCTGTGAATCAGCATGCAAGTCTGCAGATGCTTCATAGAGATGTTCTAAATATTAGCTCCAATACACAGTTACGTTGCAACTATACTTGCTTAGCGACTGCTAAGAAAAAGAGCGTGCAGCACATTTAGAAACGATGCTGTCCGGAATTCTGACTGCAGGACACGGAGAAGTCACAAATCACAACTGTGTGCAAGCTCTCTTTTAAAACTGATTATCAGCCCCGGGCAAAACATTACTGCAAAATGCTCATTAATTAATGACCCCCCCAAGAGTTTGTGCCCCCGGTGAGCACAGAGCTAAATCAGAAATCTTTACAGAAAGAAATCCATGAGGGAGCACAACCTCTCCTAACTTGAAACCAGCCTATTTCTGCTCATTTGACCCAGTAAGGCAGGAGGGAGGCACTGACCCTTCCTCCAAGCACAGGCCGTGGCAGTGGCCTCAAACAGCAACATAATTTTCATAGTAAGCAATTACCGTGGTCGCAAAGCAGCCCTTCACTGTATCTTCTACTCTAATTTGTGCACAGTCGCGTGTATTACACAAAAATTAAAAATGCAAAGTAACTTGCAAAGTTATATCTGAAAAATGATAAGGGGAGAGTAAGGGATATTTATTTACTTTTAAAAAGAAATATACAGTAAACACAAGAACATTGCAATGTTTTGGATTTCAATGCATTTCCAAACTCACCAGTCCGTTTTCAGATTTTGTTTTCAAATCAAGCTTTATTAACCCAAAACCTAGAAGATGAGTAAAAAATGAGTAAAAAAAAAATTCATATATATGAAATTTTTTATATATATGTCAATTTGAAAAGCATTTCTGATTTATTTCTTAAAACTCCGTTCTAAATCATCCATGAACTATTAAAAAAATAAACCAAGGGTACAGCGATCAAACCCTGTGTTTTTATGAAGCAGATTATGCAGCTTGTACTCACTTCAGATAGCACTTGGCTGATTAATCCTGATTGACCTCAGCAATATAACTGGGACCAAATTAGGTAGTAACGTCTTTATTCATGCTGAGAAGTATTTTGTTCATAAGCAAACTACTGACATCAATGATCCCATTCATGATACAAGGAAACAGTCAAAATACAATATACAATTTTCTTCCAAAACAGACAACAGTCCTATGGGGAACTGGAAGAATTTTGTCAAAAGAAAAGGAAGTTACCCTCCCTTTCCAGACAGCAAGAGCAATGGGAGGCTATGAGAGAAAATTCTCTGGATTCTAATGGAAATTATTGGAATACTTATCAGGGAAAAGTAATAAAATCCTAATAGTTTCAGGAATCAGGTGGACAGCAAAAGACCAAACTTATTTTGGCTTTATTTACCATATCCCTTGGTGAAAACGTCTCTGGCGGATTTGCCCAGATCAGCATACGCAGGTGGAACAGCCATTTTCTGGGTGGGGAAAAAAAAGGGGGGGAAAATTACAGCATTCAGAAACTTATTTAATTCATTTATGCAACAAGAAACTTAAGCCCATTTCAGCCAATTTTGTTTTCTATCCACCACCTATCAATTAAATGCAGCCTGAAGAAAGGAGCTACAGCCAATAGTGGGATTTGATTTTGCTCGTTAGCCAGCAGAAGCAATTGCCAGGCATTTGCCACCGAGGATGAGAAACAGGTTGCAGAACAAATATATACCAAAAAAAAAAAAAAAAAAAAAGGAACCGTCTATGCCTTTCCAAAGAGTTAATTGTTGTTCTCTTACCAGTGTAACTGCATGAATGAACCACTTCTTTTTTTAAAACCATTTCTTGGAAACGTTTCTCCTGTTTCTTGCAACAGATCTATGCGTTCTGATGCAAAGCATTAGGCCCCAAGTCCTCCACTCAGGAAATCTAACCAGGACAAGCATCTAGCATCAGAAGCATCTAGCATCAGGAGCATCTCTCCCCCTCTAATTCAGAGCTGCAAATGGGTAACATTTATGTCAGCAAAATCGACAAATGGTCATTCTTCTGCTTGAGTTTTCTTTGACTTTGCCACTGCTGGTAATGGGTTAAGGTGTCTCCTTAGACATCGACCTTTAAGTGTTTTTCTGTTCATCAACTGGGGAAAAAAAAAAATGAGCTTGCTGAGAAAAATTAAGACTGAAGGGATGCTACACTGTGAAGTCAGGCAGGCAGGAGGGCAGCCACAACCCCGCTTCAGCAGCCAAACGCAGACCAGAGCTCTCCGCAAAGCCTGGAGCGAGGCACCAGCCCGGCGCTGCGGACACAGCAGGGGCAGCTTCCTCCATCGTGCTCCGTTCGGTAGGGATGCCCGCGTTGCTGTGTAGGTCCTCACTTTGCCATCTTCAGCAGGCCCTGACCATTCGTAGTTCAGTGGCCTCACGAATGCATCCCATTTCCTCAGCCGCTGAGAAAACCGTCTCATCGTATACGGAGGAGAAAACATGATCCTGAGAGGAACAAACCAACCAAATCTACTTTCTTATCCAAGTACAGCAATTTGTTCTAGGGAAGCAAAGTCAAACGATCTGAAATGGTGTACACCTTCTGTCTTTATAGACAAGATTTCATCATTTAAAAAAAAAAAAAAGCAAAGGAGATGAATCATACTTATAAAGCTGGTCCTCTCGATACCAGGTGTTGCACTAAAATTCCCTATTCCCAAAGTTTTTGGTTATGCAAAAGTAATAAGCACTTTATTACACAAGCGTGCAAATGCTTAAAAAAGATTGCCTGCCAATCCTTACTTCAGACTATCCAACATTAGCAGAAAACTATTCCTTTAAACCACAAAGCAAACAGCTAGCTCTGAACTTGAGGGGTGCTCTTAATAGTCTTTCTGGCTGTAGATTTGGCTGCAGTTCTCTGGGCGAGCACACCACCCCAGATATATCAGATAGGGAGTTTCAGCAGTCACTCAACGCCTCAAGCACTCCATCCAACAAGCTGCTGCCTGTTGAAGCAGGATATTGCTCTTGCATACATGAAGAATCCCTGTCCTAGAGGGAACGAAACAGATCTGGTGGCTAAATAAAAGCAAACTTCTCGGAACATAAATTAAGTAGGATACAAGGGCGCATGGTAGGATGTAGCTTCAGCTGTGCAGACTACCTGAACGCGTCAAGAAGTCCTGTCATCTCTTTCCAGGGATAGTTCAGTAATAAGTTGCAGCCCCAAATATGCAAGCAGCTAAACAGTTAAATTTAAAAAAAAAAAAAAAAAAAAATCATATTCCAAAGCAGTTTTAGCTGCTTGTATTAGACCTACATGTCTCTCTCCGTTTGTTGTGCAAACATGAAAGCTGGGATTTAATGTTTATAAGCACGGCTCTCTACAGGAGAAACCATTTTAACAGTTGATCAGATGTGGTTCTGAAAACACAGAACCAGCCTTAAAAAACAAACAAACAAACAAAAACCCCACAAACCCCCCCCACACACACACACACACAAAAAACCCAAACCAAGTATTAACAGGTTTCTTTAGGTAACTCCTCTGCTCCTTATTAAAGTCACTAGAAGCAGAGTGCAATGACCAGCTCGGGGATCGTACCTTCAAGGCAGCGCTATGGCAGCACTCGGGAGAGGGACGGGAGGATTCACTAAGGGCTGCATGTGTTCAGGAAACGCTTCTGGCCTGCCAGAGCAGCCCAGTCTCACGAGAACCCTCTGATGGGTATTGCCATTTAGCATCATCAAAAATTAAAAATGTTCAAAATCCCTACGCTTGAAAAATCAAATAAGCATTGCTTTGAAAGGTAACGCGCTGCTCTGCCAGCTGCACTTTGGAATCCACCAGATGTATTTGACCAACAGTCCCTCTGAGTTGCTTCAAAAAATCAAAATATTTTCTTGAAAACTGAATGCTGTATGCTTTTGGTTTGGATTTTGTAGGTTCTGTTTTTCCCTTATCCAAGCCCAGGAAGCCAAGTTTTGCTCCCGCTGGCGTTCGTGTACCTCCTCTGGATGCGGCCAGGCTCGTCGGGCGGATGAGCCGTGACAGCCTGCTCCACTGCTGCAGCCTGGGCTGTAGGACAGTGGGAGACGGTGAGATCTCCACTTAGGCAATTACTATAATTAAGGGACAATATTGAAAGCCAAATCCCTGCCGGTTGTAAGGCAAATCATGTAATGCACACAGAGCAAGATGTTTAAAATTGCTGAGTGTGGAAAACACTGCGAGGTAGGTACGCGGCGGTTAACCTTGCTGTTGTCAGCAAGAACAAAAACAATTATTTCTGTTTGCACTGCCTAATCAGAAGCCTCTTGTTTAACAGATGGAAAACAAAACTGATTACATCCTGGGCGAGTGCAGTTGTAAGACAAGCATGCTTAACAAGGATTCAAACTCTTAAAGGATCAAGGAATGGCCGTGGCCAAGTGCCCTTGCTTTTCACCAGTGGGATCCCAGCACATTAACTCAGATTAGGTTAGGGCTGAAATGAATTCATTGCTTTTATCCTTGTCCAACTGTGCAAAGAGCTCAGAGTGCCTGCGTACCTCAACTCCTGCACAAAGCAGGCCAAGTAGAACATATATAACGTGCTCCAAGTAAGAAAATATTTTGATTTTCTGGAGTAGGAAGTACTGTAGGGCAAGTCACGGCTGAAGAAAACCCGAACTGAGGGGTCAGCACCGAGCGCTGCTGTGAGCACCACCTCCGCGAACGCCTGATTTGTAACTGCCACTGGGAGAAAATAGGGAGCAGCCTTTGGAGCTGCAGGACCCAAGAGCCAGCCCTAGCGAAGATTTCATTAAAGACAAAGCGCTTCCAGCAGGCCCAATTTGAATATTTTCCAGTGTCACAGATGGCAAAGTTTTCACCCTACGATGCAGTGCCGGGCAATTACATCAAAATCAGCCCAACAGGCAGCAAGCCCCCGGGGTGCCCTTGGCAAATGTAAGGACTGGCTGCAACCAAAGGAAAACTCATCTCTGCTTGGTAACTCTTTTACGTGCCTAAGTTTAAGTTACACAGACTTACCAACTTTATGATATTTACATGAGGGGAAGGAGCAATCTAAAAATTTCAGAAGAAAATCCGTGGTAACAATAAAATTCCCTTGAAGACAATGGGAGTCTATCAGATTCAAGGCTAAGAAATAAAAAGGTTGGATTTAACCTTACTCTAGCCACATTTTTCCTAATAAACTTGAACTCGTGTACCACGAAGGACGGTGCTTTTGCTCTCAGGCAGAACAGGGCCCCGCTCTCTCCGCGTGCCAGGGCAGGCCGGCCGGAGTCACCAGCTCCGCACGGCACCGGCGTCCCTGTCCCACCGTCCCACATCCCCAGCTGCCTGGGGAGCACGGCGCTGGCTCCGCCGTTTCGATTTTATGATCCAGATCCTAAACGCATTCAAGTCATGACCACAGTCTGCTTTGAATCAGGTTCAGAAGCCTAGTTGTGCAGAGATTTAAAAACATGCTTAACTGTAAATACAAGTAGCCCTGCTAAGGTCAAACATCGAGTTTGGCACATTCACAAGTCGTTTGAGAGGCCAGTGTAAGCATGCGATTTGAAAGTTCTCTGCCTTATGGGACGCGATACTTAACAACACTTTTTGCCCCAACTTGCTACTGTGCCAACATCGTATAATCCATGCACCATTATGACTCAAAATTTAAGACTCTGGAGTCCACCATTTCTTTCACACAGGTATTAGTAAACCCATGCAGCGTCCCTCTGACACTCGCAGGTTCACAGCCTTCCTACTGCAGCTTTGCTTTTTGAACTACGTACATGATGGAGCAGATTTCGGTTTTAAAGATTGGTTGATGCAGTATCTCTGTTGCCCAATAAACACAGGAGCGCAGAGGCGATAAACCCCTTAAAAGCAAATGTAAATATTATGATTTAGTCTATACTGATATTTATGGAATTAAAGAAAGAAAGAGCCTGCTCTTAATTGCGTGGGTATAAATTAAGAATGACAACGTCGTACAGAAACCCCTTATTAAACGAGCACATACAAGTATCAATTAAACAAAGTCGGGGGATATTGTAGCCTGCTGTAGCTACTGTACTTACTAAAACTGCAAGGGAAGAACAGAGAACCACATACCCCGCAGGTTAAATTAAACGTTCAGGCTAACGATCTGCTTCTTTCACCCATCTGCAGAGGAGATGCGCGGCACTGCTGTCCCCCCCCAGCACGGCGCAGGGGCAAGGCTGGCGCACGCCCCGGCAGAGCGCTCAAGAAGGGACACATCCCTCGCTCCCGGCCCCGCTGCAGGAACACCCAGCGCCAGATCAATCGGGGTGACTAATTAAAACGGCATTTTGTCTCCCAGCATAATTTGACAGCCTGCTACTCTCACGCCGATGAGGAGCGTGCACCGCACCGCAGCTCGGGCTACGGAGCCGGCGGATGGGTTTTTCTCTACCTGCAGCAGATGCCAAACCCACGAGGGCCTGCGCTGTGCTTCCCGACTGCATCC